AGTTGCCTCACTGCATCCACTCACAGTAAAACCTTTCCCTGTTTAACCACCCAGGACATGTTCATGAGCCTTGAGCTTGAGGTGACTGACCCCTCCAGGGTGATAAAACCAGTCCTTTGTCCCTCCTCCCTAGCTAAGCAAATATTAGGCTGAAAAAGCTCTTCAGAAATGGCAAGGGTACATCAAAATAAATTTGAGTGTTAAGGCAAAACATGGAGAAAGGAGAATATTTCCCTGTGTGAACGCATTTTTTAAAAATAGTGTCTGAAGTGCAGCTAAGCAGATAGGAACTGGGTAAATTTTGTTCAAAATAGATTCGTATCATAAAAGCTGATAACATTGTACAGTTTAATACTCACTGTAAAAGCAATTTTTCAGCTGCTTAAAATGTCGCTAAGGCAGAGCAAATTATAATCTGGTGCTTCCTGCAAATGTGTTGACACAGTTCATTAAATCAGTCATTCTTTTTGACAGCTTTTCAATACATTTCTGGAACGTGACTCTCTAAGTGTACTCAGTGGATTATATGCAGAATCATTTGCGTCTTACTCTTACCCATTCCAAGCTGAAAGGAGGATTTTAGCCTCATCTTTTGTTCTATACCTTAAATTCCCATACGGTTCATTAGAAGTTAATCACCTGATTTCTTTTCTTCTCAAAGGTCATATGTTATCACTCCTTGTATTTACCCTCATAATCTTATATTTGAAGAGACAAACCAATTTAAGTCAGTTTACATACCATTATAGAAAGGGGTTTACATACTATTGCAGACAAAACATGAAACCTTGGCAAGATGAAGCAGCTGATACCTCTCTAAAATCTTTTCCTTTAAAGCTTTTCACTGGGACACACCTAGAATAACATTCCAGTTTCCAGGGCTGGCCTGAATCTGGTTAGGTGCGTTCCTTGAGGGCTTTAGAGGCTTTCACATCCACAGCACCTGGGAAAGCAGAGTATCCATCACTCCATGGGACTACATCTATTCTGTGTGTTTAAAATAATGATATATGAAGGTCAGAGTTGATCCTTCCATGTGTACATCCCACTTTTGTCTTGACTGACCCTATTTACAAATTCTAATGGCTGTTGTACACAGCATACAGAAATTAAACAAATGGCTGATTGAGTGTCAAGAATAACAAGTTGACACTTGTTCTCCTCCTGCCCCCCCCATTTCATTTTTCTTATATAGCAATGTTCCAGATGAAAAAAAAAAACCAACCAAAACCCAAGGGAACCTTTTTCCTTGATTTTTTTTTTCCTCTCCAAAGATAATTAACTTCTTTATTCGATTTTTTCCTCCTTCTCCAGAAACAGTGTTAATCACATAACATCTTCTGCATTTGTGATTCATATTAAGTGTATATATAACAGTGGGTATTGGTATCAGTTCTTTGACCCTGTGTTAGTGAGGTAAGGTAAGACAGGCATCACCGGAGCTAGCTAAGGAAATACAATTTCCACGGCACACGTTGATTTAGTGAGGCCAGACTGTATCTATCAAAGTGTTTGTGTTGAATGAACTTGCACTAAATCCTGGATCCATCATCCCTCTCTGGAGGACGTAATGCTTGCTGGGTCTGTTGACAGAGCAGGGCTTTGCTAACTCGGAGCACTCTGACTGAAACAGGTGAAGGAGTGCAGCACAAGAACTTCACCAGTGGAGGAGAAAGCATTGACAGCCCGGCATGGTAACTCCTTCCCCCACACGGCCACCTCTAGAAAACAACAGCCATGCTCATCTTAGCACAAAAGCTTAAAGGTGCTGCTACGTTCCCCTTCTTAAACAATTCAATTTTGGATGCATGGCAGGAGGGTAACGCAACATGAGTAAGCAATGCACTAAATAAACTGAGAAGAAAATTTCCTTATTTCCTTTCTTATCATCCCCTTTTTTGTCCTTCTGTGCCTGAGCCAGTCTGTCTTCGTAAACTGTTGTTTTCATTTTTCTGTTACAATTTTTATGTCTTTCCTTTTGTTTTCATCTTCTTTTCTTGGAATCCAATATAAGTCTGGTGAGGACCTGCTGTTGGGAACAATAAATAAAGTATAGGTGTATGTTTCTTCTGTCTTGGGGAAATATGTTGTCGAAACATTTAGAATATTTTATCAGAGACTGGTTAGAATTCCATGGACAAATTCTACTGAAACCTTGATTTTTATTCCCAGCATGTACTGTTTAGCAAATAACACTTTTGTCCAACTCCTAGCAAAGATGTTGCAGCTGCGTTTTTCTTTTCTGCCTTTTCTTGTCTTTTTGAAAATAAATCATCACCACTCTGTGGCAGTGAAACAGAGAGGTAACCGTTCTCTTCTTTGGCATTTCTTATCATTGTCAAAATAAATACTTGCATCTGTGCAACTTTAATGTGAAATGATGTCTTCCCTTTTTGGAACCAGCAAATAATAACAACAGCAAGCTGTCACCTGAAAAGAAAACAAACAAACAAAGTGAAATTTATGCTACAAATTCTGTACCATTTGGAAGAACAGAGCTTCCATCCCCGAAAATTCATTCTGCACCTTTACAAAGGAGGTTATTGAGGTTATGATAAAAGTGACAGTGATATTCATGTTACTGATTTGCTGAGATAGATAGTACTAAATATCATCTTAGCTCCCTAAAGGTGCTGAATGCGGAACTAAAGCAAAAAAATCTAATGGTTGCTGCCATGGGCTGCACATTGAAAACATATTAGAAGACTTGTTAGGGTTTCTGCATAAAAATTCACTGAAAGGACTGCTCTAAGGTCTAAGTGTATTGAGAAAGAAAACACCTGGCGGGAGGAGATCTGGCTCTGCTAGGAGGACTTCAGGACACTGATGAAACAAAGCCCGTTAGAAGCTTGTGGCTTAGCAGTGAGGGCCACAAAGATATTTTAAGTACATCACTGGGGCTGGAATAAAAAAAGTAAGATCTGAGTCATTAATGCAGGAAATAAGATTGCACACTGGTCTGAGTACATGATTCATGATACCTGATGCTGAAAGTGCTTCATACTCAGATTCTTACGGCATCACAGCAAACAGTAGATCTTCTGCACAAAGATCTGTTTACATGTTCTCCATTGTAAATGCCTGGAGGAAAGGTTTGTTTTGCTTGTATATTGCCAGACACAAAAGCTGCTTAATCCTGTTTGATGTCTCTGAACACTGCTGCAGTAGGGCCATTCAAAAATAATTGATACACGTTTATGGATTGCTTCTTACATTCATTAAGACAAATTAAATCAAGTTCCATCATACACTCAGTGAAAGAAAACCTGAAATAATACCTCGAGCTCTTCCATCTTCACACACATCAAAGGAAAGCCTGAGAACACCATCCAGGCTATGCTGCCTGTTTGAACAACTGACAGAGAAGCAGGACCAGCTGATCTAATAGGTAAACACCTTATGGATGCAGATAGGCCAAAACACAACTCCTTTTACTGAAATATCTTGACCCAGTATTGTCAAGAACAAAATACTCCCATAGATGTGGCAATAACAAAGATGGTTTACCAGCTGTTTTCTTCCGTTTCGGAGAACTGTGTCTTTTCCATGTCACAGAGATGTGGCAGGCTGTTGTCTACCGACTGTCAAAGCTGCCCTGAGCTTCTGGTCCAGTATCTGCAGCCCACCAGTAGCTTCTCCGCTACCACCATTCCAGGTTTTTGTAACTTGTCAGACAGCAAGGCCAGAAACGTGCCAAGCAGGCACTGCTGTTTCTCCGTCATCCGTTGCAAAGCATGTGTTCTCTCTTTGGCAGAAATGAGCCACAAGTCCCCAGGCACGGCTGGCACAAGCTGCACCAAGGACAGACCCCCGTAGGCAGGAACGTACCGGGAGCTGGCAGCATCGACGCCTTGGCTTTGCTTAGAATGCTTAGAAGCATTTATACCTCGTTAAGAATTCAGAGCCCTGGATACCCCACAGACTTCCTTTCGTGAACCTTTAGCCCGGTGTGAAGGAGAAAGCCAAGGGCTCCCGGCCTGGCCCAGGCCCTGGCGTTGCCTCCTGAGGTTGGACGGGAATTGCAGACCTGCTGTCTTCAGCAGCTGCTGTACATCCCCAAAATAAAAACAACTAGTGGTAATTACCACCTGTATTTTGCATATCCTGTGTTATTTATCAATGGTAGAATGATATTTGTGCTTTTTGTAACTGTGCTACACAGTGAATGCCCAGAGAAGCTGTGGCTGCCCCATCCCTGGAGGTGTTCAAGGCCAGGCTGGATGGGGCTTTGAGCAACCTGGTCTGGTGGGAGGTGTCCCTGTCCATGGCAGGGGGGTTGGAACTAGATGATCTTCAAGGTCCCTTCCAACCTAAACCGTTCTATGATTTGATTACCGGTCTATCACAATTCCTCAGTCCTCCTGTGTGTTAGGGGCTATCTCTTGACATGGCAGCTTGGGGCTTTATTTCACTTTTTTTTTTTTAAGCTAACATAGGAAAGATAAGACCTTCCAATAACTAGAAAGGATTTATTTATTTATTTATTTATTGGCAGGTTCAGCTGGCAACACCTGAGCCGAGCAAGGTTACTGCTCCACCTGCTGGGCAGGAGGCAGAGCTCGGCGGGGGCCTGTGC